GCCATCAATCATCCAGGAAGGAGGACCAGGTGATTGATGGCTGCCTCTGACAAGTGGCTGATGTGAATGTGGAAGAGGCGGGTGGAGACGGCCCAGCCCAGCCCAGCCATGTGCCCACAGAGGCAGTTTGGCATGCTGCCTGTGGCGCCTGTGCCATGCGTTCACCATCACGGGCCTAAGGTGACCCAATCACAAGGTTTTCTTGGCAGATTTTGCTTAGAGGGGGCCTGCCCTTCTCTCTCTAAGGCTGCCCTTCTTTCTCTAAGGCTGAGAAAGTATGACTTGTCATCCAGTAGGTTTCCATGGTTGAGCAGGGAATCGAACTCTGGTCTCCCAGTGTCCTAGCCCAACACCCAAACCACTACACCATGTTAGTTGGAAGTAAATTCTACATAATTCAACAGCACTTATTCAAAAAAAGATTAAGCATGGGGGTGGAGCTAGGAAAGTAAACCACTGCCATCACATTATGTTGGGACTAGACACACAACTCTCATTAACGGTAATGAGAGAGAAGGCCTAATTCTTTATCCATCCACTGAGACCCTGCAGAAAAAGTTGAAGTTTGATATGTATTGAATCCTACATTTTTTCCTTTGCCTAATTAATAATGTATGGCTGCAACATGCTCAAACAGACTCTGATGGAAAGGGCTTGTAAATATAAATGTCAGTGCATTTTCTCCATTGCTTCCAAATTGGAATAATTATAACACTGGTGTGGCTAAGACGTAACTTTTAAGAAGTAGCTGACTCTGAATTTGAACACTACAAGTGACAAAACCCTCAACATCTGTACATTTCCCTTGCCAGGCTTTCCTTTAAAAAAGGGAGAGGGGGAAGACACAGCCACTTCACCCTTACTGTTAAAAAACTGGGTCATGGTTCTAATGTGAATTTGTTCAGCCTTTGTAAGCAGCAGGGTTTTTCCTTCCTTACAGTATCCTCAATTTTAAAGCAGCTATGCCTGTTGGATTAATTTGAATTAGTCTGTGAAAGTATCAGGTAGTCTACCTTTGCTAGAGATAGCACTTTCATAGTATCTTTCTGAAAGGGATGGTGATAAATGGTTTGTTGTTGCTGTGTACCTTCAAGTTAAATTTCTGAGCTAAAGATGAACCTATAATGAGGTTTTCTTGGCAAGATTTATCCCTAACCTTCTTTGTATATCCCTTACAAATAATTTGAGGGAGGCTGAGAGAATGTGACTTGCCCAAGGTCATCCAGTAGGTTTCCATGGCTGAACAGGGATTCCAACCCTGGTCTCTCAGAGTTCTAGTCCAACACTCAAACCATTACACCACACAGCGGAGGGACATTGAGGATAACTTAAGCTGTTTGCTTAAAAATACGCAAGACATTTGCCCCGAGACTAAGGATTTCTTCACAGCTAAGCATTGTGATTGCCTCATGAGAAACCCAACAGTATCTTCATGTTCAGAGGAATTGTTGGCCAGGGTTTTTACAAAGGCGACTGCCACCCAATGCAACAAAATGGCCAATAACGGCTTTGCGGATACCATCAGTCATTTTGGGCAGTTTTGACCCTGGGTATTTCCTACAGGTGGTAGGGTAAGGAACTGTTGGTTTGCAAAAACATCCTTGAGGATGACATGCTGCCTGCAGGTTGTAAATTGTGTCCACCTATAGTGGGCAACGTCTGAGAAACATTGGAGGCCCTGCTTGGTATTCATGTTTAGATAAGTATGTGTAATTATTCCAATTCGGGGAGGCATGTATGTGGAAGAGGCTCTTTTTAGCTGAGGCTCCATAGCTGTAGAAAGCCCTCTTAGGTGTGGCATTGTAGCTGGTTCCCTCATTCACCTTTCAATAAACAGTGAGGGACTTCTGGGCTGGGGAAACTATGGAGTTTATCGCACACAGTTTTCAGCCTGATCTGTGCATGGGACTGGATCGGGCAGGAATTGGGCAGAGGGCAGATCAGGGATGGGTGATGGTCAGTCGGCAGCACAGCAGTAATTTCAAGTGTAGTAAAACCCGTTTTTCTCCGTTCCAGCCCGATTCAGTCCCATGAACGGGTTGGGCTGAAAACTGCATACGATAAACTCCTATGCCTCACCACTTGTTCTCTCTTGTATGTCTGTGTAGGCTATAATTCCACAAGTTCCATAAACCAGTCAGGGGAATGAGAAGTTGCTTCAAATTTAGCTAGATTATAAAGTGACTTCAAGATCCTCCTATCCAATGATACAAAAGCCTTTTGGTAAACTCCCACTAGGTGCCAGGTTTTTTGTTTCTTATTGTGTGTCTTCAAATTACTGAAGGCACTGAAATTACCAACTCCTTAATGGTAACAAAATGCTACTAAACTATGAATGCTATCAGTATGTAAAGGGATCCTGAAGCACCTTTGAGACTAACTGTGCAAAAGAAGTTGTAGCATGAGCTATTGTAGATTTGGTCTACTTCCTCAGATGCATCTTCACCAGTAGCTTATGCTATACCTTCTTTCACACAGTTAGGGGGGAAGCAGATGGGCGGCACGGGGTCGCCCCAGGAAGCTTCGCCGCGGGGCCAAGGCATCTGCACACCTCGGCCCCGCGGTGCAGCTTCGCCGCCCCTGGAAGGAGTGCTAAAATAGCACTCCTTCCACAAATTGCTGAAGGTGCGCCGCAAAAGGTTGCTGGTGCACCTTCGGCGACTCTTCCGCTGCAGCATGTACAGACGCTACAGCGGGAGGTCGTCCTCAGAACACCAGCCGTGCAGAGGGCCAGCTGCTCCGAGGACGTTTTGGGGAAGGGGTTGGGGCGCCCAGCATGTGGCTGCCCCTCCCCTTCCTTGCTCTGAAGATGGCGCTTTGCGCTGTTTGCTTAGCCCCTTAGTCTCAAAGGTGCTGTAAGATTTCTTTGCATACTGATATTACAGACCATAACATAGCTATGTCTCTGAATGCTATGAATGCTATCATTATAGACAGAGCTGACATTGTTGCTGCTGTTTAATTATTTTGCATTTTACTAATTTATTTCCATGCTTCTCTTTCAAAAGGTCAAAATGGTGTACCTGACTCTCCTTCTCTGCACTTTACTCTTACAACCACCCTGCAAAGGTAAGACAGACTGTGAAAACATGACTGGCCAAAGGTGTCCTCCATTGATTTCTTAGCTCAATAGAATTTCAAACTGGATTGCCCAGGTTCCAGTTCAACACTATAGCTATGTAATACACCACCTTGTCTTTTTGGGAAGAAGATGTGATGCCTGGACTGGTAAAAAACTAATAAAGTTCTTACAATATATAGACTCAGAATCTGTTAACATTATGTACATATGATACCCAGGTCATTCCAAGGCAACAAAATAAAAAGAGAACAAGAGAGATGCTAGAAGGAATGTACTAGTAAAGCCAAAGAATTCTCTAAAATGGAGTGGAACCACTTTCCTTCAGGGATTTTATATGATTTATTTTTTTTCAAACAAACAATGATATAACTCTCCAGAAAACAAGAACCTTTGCAGTGCTGAAGCTGGTATATGTAACAGAGAAGTCTAAGAGTCATCGATTATTTTGAAACCAAAGGGGATTCTGTTGGTGACTGAGTAGAAAGTGAATGAGAGCTCATGCATATACAGATGGAAAAATACAGCCTTCTATTATGAAAATCACTTTCACTACAGGAATGATAACTATGATTCCTCAGAAGACAATTGTTCCATTGGAATCATTCCACTGGTGACCACTAACCCTTGCTTTTGGCAACATGACTGCATTAAATGCACTAATTGTATTTTAATTGAATTATGGAATGCTGTTTCATCTTAATGTGCCATGCGAAATGACGGTGCAGTAGCAATTTGGTATGATAGATATGAAATCATTCTCTGAATGTGGATCATCATAAAGGCAAAACAGCACTGTCTGTACACAACAGTGGAAGATTAAAACAAATAATTAAAAATCCAGTCATTTTTGCAATCTAGATTTTTAATTCTGTGTGGGAATTTAGGAACATAGGAATATAGGGATGTTTATTTCCTCTATATTCAGCACATAGAGAAAATAAACGTCCCTATATTCCTATGCTCCAATACTCCTACACAGAATTAAAAATCTAGATTGCAAAAATGACTGGATTTTGAATTAAGCAGCCATAGAAACAGACCTTTTACAGAAGGCTTATAAAACTGTAATTGAATACATGTCATTCTTCAGAACATTCTGATCTGAGATGCAGTAATTTAGAAATAAAATAGGATTTTAAAGGGATTGATTTAAATATAATACAATAACATATTTGGTAAACAGGAAAGCAAATGGTTGTAAGCATTCTTATTTCATAATAGATACTAACAATCTTGTTAGATGCTGCCCTGTGGGGAAAAAAAAAACTTTGAGAGGCTTCTGTACCGCAATAGAAATATTGCTTCAAGGAGGAAAGCTGTTGTGTGACTTCAAGCCATTTCCAACATGGTGACCCTATGGTGAGTCTATCACATGGTTTTCTTGGCAAGATTTGTTCAGAGGAGGCTTAACTTTGTCTTCCTCTAAGGCTGAAAGAATGTGACTTGACCCAAGGTCACTGAGCAGGATTGCATGGCTGAGGAGGGATTTGAATCCTGGTCCTGGTCCAGTGTTCAAACCATTACACCACACTGGCTCTCACAAAGAAGAATGTTTGTTAAATGTTAGTCAGAAAAAAATGTATAGAGGAGAAGCATTAAATAATTAGGGTTTAATATTTGACATTGATTCTGAACTTTGCTTTCCCAGATGCTGTTGAGCTACATGTTCACCAACACCAAAAGCAGTGATCATAGATGAGAGGATTTGTACTCCAATATCTGAGAATCCAAGACGGACAACCATCTGTTAATTACTTCAATAGTCAAACAATTTTAGTAAAACATAAACAATCCAGTGTTTGGAAGAGTTACTTTTCTGGACCAGTACTCTGTGTCCTTTTTCCAATGGCCTGCTGGCTGGCAGATTCTGGAGCTCCAAGTGCTTATTTCCTAATTTGGTAGAATTCAAATATATAGCTGTGTTAGTTTGGAAAATCAGTATGCAAAGGGATCTTGTAGCACCTTTGAGACTAACTGAAAGAAATAAGCTGGTATAATCAGCTTTTGTGGACTTGAGTTTACTTCCTCAGATTCATAGTTATACCTTGCAAAACTACAAATCCAAGGATTCCATAGGATGGAGGTACAGCACTTAAAGTGGTGTCAAACCCCATCATTTTTACAGTGTAGATGCAACCATAGAAATGGTTTTATTGATATGCTTACATTTTTAGACCCAAAAATGAGTTTGTGGCTATGGGTGCACTACACCATGCTAATATCACAGCTAATGTCTCCTAATCCAAGTGAACAACTGATCCTTCCTTGCTTCTTTGCAAATTGGCTGTCATGTGGCTGGATATTTCCTTGGAGAAACAAAACATCATTTCTGTATCTGAGGGAAAGTTCCTCATTTGTTGTATCGCTTTCGTTTCTTCCTTTCCCCCTTTTTCCTGGCTTTAAATAAGGTCAGAGTTTTGGAATTCCCTCAGCATATAAGCAGCAAAAAGTTTTGCTCACTCATCACTGCTCCTGAGGGTTCAGGGAAGACAGAGCAAGACCAGCACTTAGAAGGGACAGAAGTAAGTAATGGAGAAGCCTTGTTTAGAGTCCTCCTAATTCAAGCAGATGGGTGTGGGACAAAGATATTATCTTCTGCTTAATTCAAAGCAAAAGAACTGCGTTGGTTAAAAACACAAGGAAGGGGAGGTGGGATTTTAAAAGCTTGTTTGGAAGGACATGTGTGTTGGGCAAGAGGGAATTCAACTGTTATCTTTATCATCCATATTAGGTAGTCATTCTCACTGGAACCAGTCAGGTTGACATTGGTGTAAACTTGAAGATTCCTGATTGAGAACTGAGCTGCATGTAATTATCTGTCAATGGGCATTTGCATAGGATATATTTCATTTTGCTTTCAGGATCCTGGGACATTTTCATTCTGAGGCTTCATTCCAGATCTGTATTTTTGTGAGAAGTATGGGACAGGAGAACACATATTTGTTTCTATCTATCCATCTATCCATCTATATTGGAATATAGTTAGTCTGAGGTATAACATAGAAAATAAACATTCTGAAATCTTGAAGTTAAAATAGTGTTCAGGATCTCTGTGTTCATCTTCCTTATAAGATGTCCTTGTCAGATTTTTTTTTTAACTGAGGAAAAAAGTAACACCCATGAGGCTTTCCTGATGGTGTGATCTCTCTGCAGTAGACTTAGTACAGGAGTGGGCAGCATTGGATTAAAATGTGTGTGCATATGTGTCTTCAAATCATCTGTCAGCT